GTGGGAGGGAAGTGCACGGGATTATGGTGATGGCACACGGGTGACTTGGTGATGGGAAACCCACGGGGATTACAATTGAAATTTTAAAAAATGTACAAAATGATGTAAAATGTACAAACTGTTGTATTATTTAGAAGAAAAAATTTCAGCCATTAAAAGCCTTAATAAGGCTGTACTAATACTGTAAAAAAAAAAAAAATACAAAGTAGAAACAGCCTAAACATTTTAGGAGGTCCTCACCATCAGGGTCATGCAGGTACAGGTTGGGCAATGTCGGGAGCACATCTTGACAAGGAGACACTGTGTGACTGTGGAAATGGTCTCAATCTTTGCTGTCCAATGGGGTGGCCACTAGCTGCCTATGAAACACATGAAATGGGACTAGTCTGGCTGGGGGATTGAATTTTCCCCCATTTTATTTAATTGGATTAACTGAAACTGAAATAGCCACATGTTCAATAGTGGCTACACATCCAGACAGCACAGCCACGTCGCACCAAAAATAAATGAATTAGAGGTAAACACATGTCAAGATAGCTACATCTCAAAAGCATCATATTGTATAAAAAAGCAAGTTTCAGAAAACAGTCTAGGATTCAGAATGAAGTAAGCAGGGTGTCTAAAGTAAGTATTTTAGAAGGTCCTCACCATCAGGGTCATGCAGGTACAGACAGGTTGGGCACTTGTGGGTCCCTGTGAGGAAGCACATTCTGGCAGTTTGTTATAGCTGCCCTGCTTGCTTCATCTGTCTTAAGCCTTTCAGGGTATATCTGATATGACACTGTGTTAGCAGTCTCCAAGCTGGCACTCAGTTCAAGGATTCACCAGGACTCATAGGACTTAACATGTAGTAAAAGGATACAAAGCAAAATCAGCCAGTGGGAAAAGTACATGGAGAGGACAGAAGCCACATATATATGGATTACAGCAAAACCAAACAAAGATAAACTTTAAAACCAGCCCTTGAAAGAGGACAATAGAACCAAGGCATCCAAGAGACATGGGGGAGGGAGAAGAAAAGAGAGAATGAGAAAGGAGAAGAGCACAATGGACTGTCATGGAGGACTACAGATGCTTTGATGGAGGGAGAGCTACGTTGACCACACCTGAGAGGAGAAATCCTGTATTGTAAAATATTAAAAAGGATGTAAAGCAGTGGGACTCCATTAATTAAAAGCTAGGTGCAGGCTTCCAAGTGGAGTCTTATGGGATACACTCATTTCCTACGTAAATATTTCAATGATTGAAATGTCTATCAAAAGAGCTCATGGACACTCAACGCCAGAGGTGCTGATCAAGTACAAAATTCCAGATTACCAGAAAAGGTGTTCAACATAAACCACCTTGTTTGTACAACTCAGACCCCACAAGCACACTTTTCAGGAAAGTATGGGAATCCTCCTGAATCTAAGTTCCTAGGTACCAGCCAAGAGCCAATGTCGCAAACAGGCCTATCTGAGGATAGCAGTCTGAGGCCCACTATCTTAACTCTTGTGCAGATTCCATTCATATAAAGCTACAGAACATGACAAACAATATTACAGATTGCTTAAGGACTCCTACCTATATTTATATATAAACATACACAGAAAATAAACACCAAATTCAAGATTATAGTTACATTTGAGGAAAAGGACAGAAGAATGGGTGAGACAGGGATATATAAAGCCTTCCAAAAAGTTTTACTAAGTAATGTGTAAAAGCATGTTTTGTTAGAGCATTTTTTATACTTTCCAAGTCCACCTGAAACATTACATTACATAAGGCTGAAAATTTATCTGCTTGTTACTATGTTACTACTCACAGTTCCTGTTTATTGAGTGCTTCTCACATTCCAGGTACTATGCTAAGGCCTTTTTTAAAAAAAATTCAATGAAGACTTCCCTCGTAGGAGACCCCTGTAAGCTTTGGAAAGACATTAAAAGAGTCAATATAAACCAGGTGAGATCTCTGCCCTCAATCAGTTTTCAATTTACTGTGGGGTATGTGGGATAAGCACAATTTAAAACCAGTGAAAGTACAGATTCTGGTTAAGTGCTATTTAGATAATAAAGCAGGGCGGTGCAATTAGGAAAGGCTAATTTAATGAGGGTAGTCTGGGAAGGTTTATTTGAGAGAGACATTTGAGTTGAACCATAAATGATGGGAGTGAGACAGCCATGCAATTATCTGAAGGAAGCACATTCAAGGCAGCGGGAACAGCAAGTGCATGCCCTGCAGCAAGACTAAGCCAGTGTGTTGAAAGATGGAAACAAAACCAGTAGGGCTTGAGAGTGTTGACAAGCAGGACACTGAGAGATGATGCCCAAAAGGTAAGCTGAGGTCATTGTGCAGGGCCTCCTAAGCCACAGGAGAGATCTTAAGTTTCATTCTAAGACATGTTTGAAGCAGGATGAAACGATGTGCAGCACACCCTACAAACAGGCTGTTTTCTTCATCAGCACCACAAACATCATTCTTGTGGCTGATGAGCTTTATAGGGGCTATGGAGAGGCTGGGGGAAGAAAGGAAGGGTGAAAAATACCCACCATCCAAAAAAGGAACTACAAAGTTGGAATGAATACATGTTTAATTAAATACCTAGAAAATGTAACAACATGGCAACTTCATTATTGAAAACAGCATTATATTTGGGAATGATTGAAAAATTAGATTTTTCAGTCACATCAAATCCTGAATATGTGCAATGACTACCAAGAAATTATAGCCAATCATAAATGTGAATTTTCTTGTAGCCAAACTGTTTTTAAGGGAGAAAAAAAAATTTTTTAAGATTTATTTATTTGTGCATACAGAACTGGGGTACAGGCCAGAGGTGCAAGAGCAGTGAGAGGATTCACCAGAGACAGAGTGGGGAGCAGAACAGGCAGATGGACGAAGTAAACTGCTGAGGGCAGCAGCGGGTGAGACAGGTCTCCCTCGCCATGTGGGTCACCTCCCTGGCAGAGGATGGAACTCACGCTCAAGTGGCTGAGACTAGCTTACAGTGCTGTGCTTTAACCTGTTGCGCCACCAGGGAGGGCCCGAAAATAATCTTTTTAAACAAACAAACAAAAAGCCCCTTCCCTACTTATAATGAAATGTAGACACAAAAAGAAGCCTCACATCATGAAGCCCTAATTGGAAGGAGATAGAAGGGGCTGATGAGAAATGCTCCAGGTTTTATCAACGCAGTTCAGACCTAAAAGCTGTGAGTTTGAACATCCTGGGGGAACCCCAGGAAGGTTGCTGTGAGGTGGGAACACTTGAACAAAGAGATAAGAATAACAAGAGCACCAGATATCTCAAGAACTAGAAGAAATTCTGGGCACAGGAGCTTCACTGAGTGGTTCGTCAGCACTTGAAGGAAAAGAAGGCCTATCTGCCTGGACAGAAGTTGGCGCTGGGCAGGTAGTAAACTAAGCTAGCAGTCTAGATGACTCCACCCGAGAACAGCAAACCACTCACGTTTAAGTTAACTGATTCCATCTGTTTCAGGCCAGCACCCCTTGCTGCGGGGGTTCTGGAGCACCTGAAGGTGGTCAGGGCCACTGTGCCGGGCATCTTCCGCGTCGCTTAATTTCAGTCAACGTTTTGATCTAAAAACATTCTAACATACAGCTGAACTCCTGGAAAACTTTCCAGGTCGCTCGCTGGGCACTTGAATTTACGTTTAAAGCCACCAGTGTAATGAAACCTAATGCAAGACCATTTCCGATGAAGATGTCCTGGTTACAGATGTGCTGTCACGGTCACACACTGTAAAAGAACATCGCTCATTTGCATTTTTCATACCACCAGAAGGTTGAAATAATATCCTGGCTATACCGGAGTATACACAACATGTAGTTAATTTCACCTTTTTAATTTAAAACAAGCAAACACGGTTACTAGAAAAATAAAATGAGCCGTGTGGACGGCGTTCATTTTCCCCGGGCAAGCGTGGTCGCGGGTAGAGGCAGAGCGTGAGCGCTGGGGCCTGGAGGTGACCAGACCGGGGGAGGGGTTTTCAGAGGGATGTGCACGCATGAGTCTGGTCAGCGAATATTCATGGCCTCTTCACGAGCAGGGAAACGTGGCCCCGGGTGCGGCGCGGCGAAGGCCGGCCTCGAGCTTGCGCGAATAAAAGTCTCCCAACGGTCCTCCAGGGGGCGAGAGCGGGATTCGAACCCCGGCGAATCCCGGGGCCCGAGTCTGAGTGCGCCGTCGCGTCACGCCGCTCCGCCTTCCCTCATGGGGGTGTCCAACGTTCACAACGTTCACAACGGAATCCCCAGCCGCTGGCCTTTGAGGGGTCAGAAGCCACTGGGAGACGCTCCCAACAACGCTCACCTGAAGACAGACGTCCAAGCCGCTCGTCCTTTCTCTCCACACCCACCACCACCGTTCCGACTTCCGCTCCTCTCCCACGAATCCCGGGACGAATCTTTCTGTTCTCCCGCCTCCCTCCGTTAATTCAGCCAACCACCTCTCAGAGAACCTGCTTTACCCCCGCCCCCACCGCCGCCTGCCAATCACCGCGGGAGTGAGCACTGCCCTTCCTACCTCTTGAGCGAGAGCCGCGCGCCACCGCTCGGCGGTTGGCGGTGCGGCTCCCAGTGGAATGTATTTCTGAGGAGGGTGGGCTGAGGGGCGGGATAAATTGGTGCGGAAACCCTCAGGATTGGCCGAGAGCAATTCCGCGCTCTGACTCCGCCCACCCCTCCTGCGACCTCCTTGTCGGAGAAGCTGGGGATTGGTTCCTGTCGGACACCCTGAGAAATCAAGAGATGGCCCCGCCCCATTCACTCATCCCGGAGAGGTAGCTCGGCGGATTGGTCCGGGAAGTCTCGGCGCGCGCAGACCGACGCTCCAGAATTGGCTAAAGATGTGCTCGCGCCTCCAGAGAGCCTTGACTGTGATTGGTCGGAGGGTGGGGCCCGCTATTTGAAGGAGGCGCGCGGAAGAGATACGCCTTTCGGTCCGCGGAGAGAGAAGGCGGGAGCGGTTCGGCCAACGCTATCCCGCTGACCCGACTGGACACAGGCGCGAGCTCGGCTCCAACTCTAGCCTCAGCTGAGAGCGGGCGAGGCAATGGCCAAGGTGTCGGTGCTGAACGTGACTGTGCTGGAGAATCCGAGTCCATTCCACAGCCCCTTCCGGTTCGAGATTAGCTTCGAGTGCAATGAGGCCCTGGCAGACGGTGAGCCTGGCCCTGTGTGAGACCTTCCCCTTCCCTGGGCCAACCCTGACCTCCCTGTGAGCCCCCGCCCCACCAGCCCCAAACGCCCGTGGAGGCTGCAACCCAGTGCACTGCCGGCCCCACTCCCTTCCCACGGATACTCCCATTTCCCCCTCAGAGACCTCAGCATCCCGCTATTTTTCCTGTAGAGCCCGTCCTGGGCACCCGTTTTTTCTTTGTCTGTATTCTTTAACCTACAGAAGCCCTCAGCACTCTCTCCTGTAGCAAGAAACCTCCACTTTATTTCTGGCCAGGCCTCTGATCCCTTCCTCCAGTGTTTCCATCCATTCACTCTCCCCTGTGAGGAGGCACTTATAATTCACTTTCTTCCTATGGAGGCAAAATGCTCCCTCCCATTTTTCCCGTGGAAACCTCAGCTTCCTTCCCCACTCTCCCTATGGAGACCTCTTCCCCAGGCTCCCCCTACTTTTTCTTAGTGGAGCCCCTCCAATCACCCTCTTTCCTGTGAAGATCCCCTCCCCTTTGCCCCAAGACCTCTCACCCCCATCTCCTCATTTGTCTCCTTGTAATCCCCTCCCCAGCCTGCTGATATTCAAACAACCCCATCCCCACCCATTACAATTTATTTTCTATCCTGCAGCACATATCCCGAAGCATGCCTGACCTCCAACCCCCTTTTCTTGACCTCAACCTGAGCATAGGACCAAGCTTGGAGCTCCAGTCTTTGAGGCTTGCTTGGTCTCCCCACCTCCTGCTCCTCCCTCTCTGATTTTGGACTTCAATGAACACACTAAAATCTAAAGGGTGGCATAGCCAGGCAAGCATTAGCAGTTTCCCACTGCCTGCCTGCCAGGTTCCAGGTGACCATTCGCAGAAATTTTTTCAAATTTTTTGATGATATCACCTGGAAGGGGGTCTTGCTAATTCATGGCAATATCTGGATTCAAATAATCAGCTGGGAAATCAGAACCTCTTGCGTTTTTCCAAGGAGCTTTCACAAATGAACCTACTCATCTGTGTAGCAGATGGGCATGGCTCTCATCTCACAGATGAGGAAACAGGAGCCACAAAGTGAAAGACTTTATATTTTATTTGTGCATAGTAGAACTGGGCTGTAGGCCAGATGTGCAAGGCGTTGAGGGGGTTAAGGGAATTCACCAGAGGCAGTGGGGAGCAGAACAGGTGTATCTACTAAAATACACTGCCAAGGGAAACAGCATATGAGACAGGAGAGGTCTTTTGTGCCATGTGGGTTAGTTCCCTGGCCAGGATGGAACTCAGGCAGTAGTGGTGATAGCACTGAAACTTAACCCTTAGGGCACTAGGGAGGCCCAAGTGAAAGACCTTTTAAATAAATGTCTATCCAGAAGGAAAATATAAGGTCACCCAGGGAATCTTGGCACCATATTTAGGAAGAAATACTGCATAAGGCCTCTTCTCCCACTTACAGTTAAGAGAGAATTGGCAACAACTCAGTACATGCAGATCTGTGGGCCTGAGAGGTCTGGGTGCATTGACTAGCTCCTCTTCTTGGTGGGTGGGTGGTTTACCGGAAAAGCTAATCACTTGGATTAGCTTGGGGTTGATACCTTATGAGATGTGTGTGGGTTTGAACTGAGCCAGTAGTTCCATCTCTTCCTGGTTTCTCCTTTTTAAATTAAGGAATCAACCTGTGACTAACTATAGAATAAGCCCAGTTAAATCCTTTCTGGAATAAGGCAGGGTGTAAATAAATAAATAAAGTGTAGAATGACACTGTGGAATAAGATTTAATTTTAAAACCAGGAGGAGATGTAAAGACCTAATATGTCTCTGGGATTCACAGTTCCCAGATGGCAGGAGATTGGGTTTCAAATTGGCCTGTTTGCACTCCTTGCTGTTTAAAGTGGTTACATGGTCATTATCTAGTACTTTTTATTCTGAAGAAGCCCCTTCTCTGTTACTTTACTAAGCTGTTTATGGTCTCAAAGTAGGAAAGGCTAATGTCAACCTGCTGCTGGTCTTTTTTTTTTTTTTAAGATTTATTTATTTATGCATACAGAACTGGGGTACAAGCCAGAGGTATAGGGGGTGGTGAGAGGATTCACCAGAGAGAGAGTGGGGAGCAGCACAGGCAGATCAGTGAAGTACACTGCTGAGGGAAGCAGTGGGCAAATCAAGAGAGGTCTTTTGTGTCATGTGGATCACCTCTGGGGCAGGGGATCGAACTCATGCTGAGCTGAGCTGGCTTTAGCTTTTTGGTGCTGTGCTTTAACCGCTGCACCACCAGTGAGGGCCCTTGTCATTATTTTTTAGAGATGGAATGACTTCCCCAAGGTCACACAGCCAGTTTGTAGAAATGTTGACTCTAGAGTTTGTCAGTTGTGAGTCCAAGCTTCTTTCTCTTTGCTATAACTTGGGAAAGAAAGCATGCATCTCCTATTTTAGAAGAGAAACATAAATAGGACTGACCATAGATCTATTTCCACATCAGAACACTCTCAAAAGAGTGAAGGGGGTGCTATTATTAATTACACCCAGCCAGGAAAGCTTTTGCTCAGAGAAATTCCAGTCCAAAAGCAAGCACTGGCCCGGAAATCCAGGCTCTTTGGTTCTACCCCTCTGGCTATTTGTGACTCTGACCTGCCGACTCGCTTTCTGCCTCCTCTTGGCCCTCTTCCTACAAAGCAGAGACTCCGTTTTCTGCCTCTCAAAACAGTGGGCCATTCAGGTAGGCCTGGCTTTAGAAATCTCTCAGATCCTGGAGAAGTCTTTCAATCCTGTTATATTGGCAACTGGAGATCTGACAACATGTAAAACCCCGTCAGCTGACCCCATTTCCTAATGGTTCCAGGCTCCTTTTGCTTTCTTTTCTCATCAGCATGTAAAAGTAGAGGCTTCTAATGCCTGTATCCACATTTAATACATTCACATGTTCCCCCCCCATTTTCTTTTTTTCTTTTTTTTTAAAGATTTGGTTACTTATGCATACAGAACTGGGGTATAGGCCAGAGGTGAAGGGGCCACCGTAGAGAGAGTGGGGAGTGGGGGGGCAGAACAGGCACATTGACAAAGTACACTGTGAGAGGAGCAGCAGGTGAGACAGACGTCTGCTGTGCCATGTGGGTCACCTCCCTCGCTGGGGGGTTGAACTCAGGCTGAACCCATTGCACTATCAGGAAGGACCTTCCCCCATTTCTTTTAAGAAACTTAATAAACACTGGGTGAATAAGTCATGGAGTCAGACACATAGTGGTCAGACCATGTCCATTTATACTACATGATTATGAACAAAGGTGAAAATTGAAAAGGGCATATTAAATACATTAAAAGAGGGAAGAGAGGCCCTCCCTGGTGGCGCAGTGAGTTAAAGTATAGCACTGAGAATCTGGAGCCGCTTCCGCATGAGTTCGATTCCCGCCTGCCCCGGAAGTGACCACATGGTGTGGCAGACCTCTCCTGACCCGCCCGCTGCTCCCCTCAGCAGTGTACTTCCTCGATCTGCCTGTTCTGTTCCCCACTCTGTCTCTGGTGAAGCCTCTCACTGCCCCTGAGCCTCTGGCCTGTACCCCAGTTCTGTATGCACAAATAAATAAAATCTTTTAAAAAAAAAAAAGAGGGAAGAAAGGGGGGCCTCTCTGGGGATGCAGGGGTTAAAGTCTCAGCACTATCAAGCTATCACCAGCTGCTGTGTAGCAAGAGCTACAGTATGAGTTTGATCCCAGGCCAGGGAGCCAACCCACAGGGCACAGCAGACCTCTCCTGTCTCTCCTGCTGCTTCCTTCAGCTGTGTAGAGCCCTCTCAACCCCACATTTCTGGCCTGCACCCCAGTTCTTGTATGTATGTATATGTAAGTAAGTAAGTAAATAAATAATCTTTTTTTAATAATAGAGGAAGAGGGCCCTCCCTGGCACAACAGGTTAAAGCGCAGCACTATGAAGCTACTCAAAGCCACTGTGGCACAAATTCGATCCCCAGCCAGGGAGGTGACCCACATGATGTGGCAGACCTCTCCTGTCCCACCTGCTGCTCCCCTCAGCAGTATATTTCAATTGATCTGCCTGTTCTGCCCACTTTGTGTCTGCCTAATCCTCTCACCTCCACACCTCTGGCCTGTGCCCCGTTCTTGTATGCATACATAAATTTCTCTGGCTAATTCAGTTTTTTACATGTCTTTAATCTTATGGCTAGTTTTGGTTTTATATAGAATTCTGCACAGGGGTTAGAACGTTAATTTTGGCATAAAGATAAAACGTAATTAAGTCACCCTTGGAATTGTCTTAATGATTAGGTATGCAATATATGATGTATAATCCTGTCTTGTTTTCCATAGGCATAAGTTTGTGCTGTATTGGTGATTAGCATCCTCTGTCTAATTCTACAAAAGGGTTATAGTCAAAACTGAACTGTACACTCAAACTGCAGCCAGTTTAAGTGATTCCAATTTATAGGTTCTTGTTTCAGTCATCTTCTGTCTTCTCTGGATGTTTTTGTCAGCTCCTCTAATTGTTGAGTCAGTCATTCTCTGTGATCCTCAGTTCATTCTCTGATTGCTTTCTGACCACTTTACTAGCTCACGATGGCTCATTTGGCCACTTGCTGTGCACTTGCTCTCTGGTCAGCCCCCACATCGTCTCTGTTTAGGTTTTGCCAACAGTATTGAACTTGAGTACCTGTGGCATTCCTGGGACTTGGTCTATTTCATTCTCCACAATCTGTCTCTCCTCCAGCACATAAATTATACTTGACTCCACTGGTGATAGGAAAAGGCCAGTGGAAAGATGCCAAAATATAGAAATCAGAAATTTGTGCTTAAAAGGTAAGAACAGAACTGGCTTTGTTTTTTGTTCATAAAAAAATAAAAAAAAAAAAAAAAACCATTATGCCTAGTTGTGTCACTGCTTGTAACAAAAATAAATTTTAAAAACTCCCTGCAAATTATAAGAGACTAGAGCTTGACCGAACTCCACTGAGCCTAATGGTCACTGTATCCCACACAACTGCTGGGCCTCTGAGCAGGCCCAGAGTGACACTGTGAGGGACAGGAAGCCAGTGTATCGAGGAAGAGCTTGGGGCTCAGGTGACAAACCTCCACAGACATGGCCCAGCATCCATGTGCTTCAGAAGTTGGATGCACTTATGGGACACCAGACCAAGGACCAGAGCAGCTTCCAAGAGTGTTTGCTTCCTGTGAAAATCACAACTTGTGAAACATCCCCCAGCTGCTGGAGCAGTAGGTTGTGTAATTTCAAAGAACCTAAAATAATTTTCAGGTCTCCTGCCAAGCTTCCCTGTACCAGCCTGACCTTGTCCCTGATACACTTGGACTTTCTGCAAGAGGCAGTGGTCACTGGGAACTGCCTGTGATTGACAGGCAGGGTCCCTTTACGCTCTTTTCCTTTCATCTCTTACTTACATACTCAAGTATGGGGCTCTCCTGATATGTAAGATACATGTGAGCTAGGGTTCAGAGTATGGCCCTAGGATGCTGCATTTGGTGACTGTGTCTCTGTTGCCAGTTGTACATGAGTAGACATAATTTAGTCATGAATCTGGAAGACCTGGGTACTGGCCGGCTCCTCTAGTGGCCTCATCTTGCCCTCCTAAGGGCTGGCTCTCCTGCTGAATTGGAATCTACTGTCCTGTTCCAGTTGTCGAGGGATCTACTCATTCTGGTGGCACCAGTCCCTGTGTGTGAAAGAGGATGCGGCTTCCGATCCCAGCACCCAGTGGGCAGGGCTCTGAAATGGCCCAACTCCCTGCTGTTCCCTCCTCAGCATGGCTCGGTCACATGGCTCTTAATTCAGCCTCTGCCATACAGTTCACCCTTAGGCTCTGAGTATTACCCTGGAGGTGCAGAGTGAAGGTCGCCCTGCAAAGCTGGGCCCATGGAAGTATCCCCACCGGAAACAGAGCTTCAAGTCCATCCCAGTATCAGGGGTCCAATGCCCAGCAGCTATCAGGTGTTCCTGATAATAAGAATCTTCCAGTATATTGAGGATCTGTCCCAAACTAACACTAAAAAACTTCCTCTGCCTTCTTGCTATCAAACTATTTCAATTCCTTAACATTCATGTCCTTGCAGACCTAGAGTGGAAAATCATCTACGTTGGCTCAGCTGAGAGTGAGGAATTTGATCAAATCCTAGACTCTGTGCTGGTTGGCCCTGTCCCAGCCGGGAGACACATGTTTGTCTTTCAGGTAAGAAAAATGAGGCCTGAGGCCTTGACATTTTGAAACACCCTTTTCTACCAATAAGTGTATAATGTGTGGCTCAGTGAAGGAAAGTTCAGGTTCAAATCCTTGCTCTCTTTCAGGAAGTGTCTGACCTCTCATTGATACCTTCCCTCATCTTGTGTATCACAGCTGATAATCATGAGCCACTCATTTACATTTGAACCTCATTATTCATAGGAATCATATTCTATAAAGCTGCTGTCAATACTGAAGTAGCAAAAACTGAATACAGAACCACTGCCTATAGAGGAGATACATGATTAGGCTCCTGCTACTATATCTGTATCAACCAGTCAGTACTTAATCTTCTGTTTCTGTAGTAATATTGTTGGTACATTTGCATTGAACTCATGGCCAACAGCACTGTACCTCATGACACTCAGAGGTAGCACTCAGCACCATGCCTGGGAGTCATTGCAAATCAAAATGTATAAAAATGTTAGACTTTAGAAAAGGACACTTGTTAACAGTATAAGCACTGATACAGGAAGTTAAGAGTGTTGCCTTGTTCGACCTTAGCTGGGACTACTCATCACACAACTCGGATTTCTCCCCGATTCTGTACATGTCCTCGAACACTATGAAACTATACCCGAATATTGATTTTGGTATTACACATAAATTTTAGTGAGTAGGCGAATTTGAAAATATGGACTCCATGAATAATGAAGATCCACTATAGCTGCTGAATAGCTCTCTAATCCAGCACTAGAGAGGTGGTCAGAATGCAGATTTAGTGTGATTCTTGTACACAATAAAGTTGGACAGCCTCTGCTTAACCCATTCACTTCCTTCCATGTCTGCTGTTCCATCCCCAGCCTGAGCCACCACATGTCATCACCTAACCCCCTCATCCATCCCATCATCCACTCCACAACCAGGGCCAGCTTCCTAACTCTATAGTCCATGTCCTCACATGGTCAGTGCCTGCTATAATGTTACTGGCAGAAAGTTCTATTTGAATATAGGCCTCTGCTTTTTTTGGTTTTTAATTGCCTTCATTTTATATCAGCTATATAGCCAGCCCTGTCTATGACAATACACCATGAGTCTGTCTACTTCGTCCTTCTCTGCTGCCGGATCTAGGCCACCGTCTCTCTCTATAGGACCCTCCTGCCTGACCCCCTGCTCCCACTACAGTTCTCCTTCTGTCACAGCTCTACACAGCCAGCGTTATCTTTTTAGGCCACAGGTGAGGTGGTACTTACCTCTTGCTAAACATTCTTACTTGGGCCCTCCCTGGTTGCACAACAGGTGCTTTAAAAGCACAGCACTATGAAACTATCCACAGCCACTGCATCACAAGTTTGATCCCCAGCCAGAGAGATGAACCACATGGCACAGCAGACCTCTCCTGACCTACCTGCTGTTCTCAGCAGTGTATTTCAGTAGATCTCCCTGTTCTGCTCCCCACTCTGTCTCTGGTGAATCCTCTCACCACCACCAACCACAGCCCCCACCCCATACCTCTGGCCTGTACCCCAGTTCTTGTATGCATAAATAAATCTTTTTTAAAAAAATTCTTACTCTTTCACAAGCCCTTCACTGGCCCAACAGACCCTGTATGACTTGGTCCTTACCTGTCCACCTAATTAGCCTCACCTAAGGCCATCCTTTTTGTTCACTTCACACCAAATGTTCCTCCTTTATGGCAGCAGTGACTTTCAGCATTTCTAAGTATTTATATATTTGATTAAAACACTTCCCCATTTGATTGAAGACTGAGGGCAGAGATCATATATTTAGCTCACTAAATTACATACTGCTTCAGAAAAATTGTTATTACTGGTAAAGACATGACTGATAAACAATGCTAAGGCCCAGAATGTGTTTCCTCTAGGCTGATGCCCCCAACCCATCTCTGATCCCTGAGACAGATGCGGTAGGTGTGACAGTGGTCCTCATCACCTGTACCTACCGTGGACAAGAGTTCATCCGAGTGGGCTACTATGTCAACAATGAGTACCCAAACCCCGAGCTTCGGGAAAACCCACCACCAAAGCCAGACTTCTCTCAGGTGGGGCCTGCACTAACCACTTCATACAAGCGCCTTTGCATTTGGGGGGAAAGTTAAGTTGGTAAAATTGGGAGATAAGGTCACTTAGGTTTTCAAGTCAATGGTCAGCTTAAAGCTGCAGGCTAGAATGAGAGAAAGGGTCTTTGTTTCTCAGAACTATACTTCAACGAATGAAGATTAAATGGGTCTGGAGTACCAAGTAGAGTTGGTGGTGATGGAATAAGCCAGATCTGTTCTTCCAGGGCTTGAAGTGAGGGAGTTAGAGGGTGAGTGGAGGCGCTCTGTGGGTATTGTGAGGGAAGGCATGCTAACAAGGGCTGACATTCCTCTTCCTAGCTCCAGCGAAATATCTTGGCCTCAAACCCCCGGGTGACCCGTTTCCACATCAACTGGGACAACAATGTGGACAAGCTGGAGGCCTTAGAGAATGAAGACCCTACCCTGGGCTGTGGCCTTCCCCTCAGCTGCATGCCTATGAAGGGCCTGGGTCTCCCTGGCTGCATCCCCAGCCTCCTCCCTGAGAACTCCATGGACTGCATCTAACTACAAGGACCCAGGCCCACTTGGGTCCAGCCATAACATCTGGAGAGGAAGTTAGTCCTCCCTGAGAGTCTTATGGAACCATAAGGAAGTATCTGGGGCCATCAACCACATCCAAGCCAGTCATACTTGCCCCAAGGAAAGAACAGGGCTCAGGTCTCTCCTGACCTTGGCCTGGAAAGAATCACCTCACTTTTACTGCCCAGGCCTATAAGTGGCAGGACTTCAATTCTGAATTCGTTATGACTTGTGCCCTTTTTCTCTTGCACATACACACAACCACAGACTATACATTCTAGCTACAGGCCATTGTGCCACACTGCTTCTGTGAGTACCATTGAACCAAAGCTCTTCCCGACAGCCTCCCCAGTCTGCCTTGATGTTCTTGGTCAGTGACTAGCAAGGCTGCAGCCCTATGGGCCGAAGCCTCTGTTATTTCTGAGCAGATTCACCTAGCTTTCTGAAGTCACAGGCGAGGAATCTTAGAAGATGGACTTAGATACAATTTTTGTCCTCCCAGGACAATTTTTAGGTCTTTTCAATCCACTAGCCCCAAAGGTGTGATCATCAGGATGCTGAGGATTGGTGGTTGACTCTCCTCATGATCATCACTTTACTTTCTTCTTTTAATTGGACCTGACTTGCCCTGGTGGGGGAATGACATGTTGGAGGGTCTTGCTGTTTTTGGTCTCGGCGCCAGCATCAGGGCCCCTCTGCCTCTGGCTGTCATGATTAGGTACTGAAGAACCTAATGCTCCCACTGACCAGAGTGATTTCAAGCAAGGGAAGCAGTAGGAAACAAAAAATTTTCCCTCCCCCTCCCATGCTCCCCCATGCCCTATCCCTTGCTGCTATGTGGATGCTGTTATGATTGCAGTTTGTATATTAAAGGATTTTTATATTAAATATGTTTGGTTGGTCTAAAAATAAAAAGCACTTCATCTAGACCAACTACTTATGCTTTTGTTTCTGGTGGACAGAGGCAGCTTTGTCACTTTGTCCATCTCATAACATGAGGGATAAACTTGTCTAGTATTTCTAACTTATGTTCCGGGAGGGACTTTTCTTTATCAAAACTTGAGCAACCCAGCTGTTCTTGAGCTAGAGCATAACCAATGAGTTTTCAGACTTTGACCTTGACCCACAAGAAGAAATTAACATTGTGATCCAAGCACCCATACATCAACACTTTAATTAGATTTCACTTAACCTTGTAACACCACATCCCAAAGTAGAGTGATTTGGCCAGTGAGCCATATCCCTGATATTCATAAAAGAACCCCCACTCTTGCTTCCCTTGGACTGCTGGTCCTCAGAATCAAATGCAGATAGCTGCATGGTGGAGAGCAGTCTGTCTGGGCAGAGCAGCCTTTAGCTTAAGAGACCTGAAAACAGCCCCTTCAAGTGAAAATTAACTCAGTCCCCTGCCCTTTTTTTTTTTTTTTTTTTTTTTGTGCCTTTTTCCATCTCATTTGCAATCCCCATGGGCTTCCCACCACCAATTCACCCGTGTGCCATCACCATAATCCAGTGCACTCTTCCCACCCCAGTTTTGATCCCATTCCTCCCCAAAATGTCTCTGGTTTATAGTTGTTCATTGTTTTCATTTTTACTCTATTACATTTGTCTCCCTTTTCTCCCCCTGATCCCTTACACTCCTATGAGTGAAATCATCCGGTATTTTTCTTTACTTTCTGGCTTATTTCACTAAACATCACCCCTTTCAGAGTCCCCTGACCTTCTATGCCCACTTGGCCTCCCTCCATTTCAGTGGTCCTAAATTGCAGTGAGGGATGCAGTTTTGCTCCCCAGAGCACATTTAACTATGTCTCTGGATGCTTTTGTCATAACTGGTGGGGGGGGGGGGAGGAGAGAAGTGCTGCTGGCAACTAGGGAATAGAAACTGAGGCTACCCCTAAACACCCCACAATACACAAGACAGTGCCCTTGGCAAGGAATAATCCAGACCCCAATGACAGTAATGAGGCAGTTGGGAAATCCTGACCTTCCTCAGGCTATGTGTAATTTGAAAGGACACCTGAAGAGAGAGGCATCTTTCCACCTCTGCTCCAGAACAGGTTCCCTTTGCCCAGAGAAAAGGAATCCTCAGCCTGGCTGTGACCCAGAATTCTTCCTCTGTAAAATGGGAGTGATAACTACCGACGCGAGAGGAGTATGGTGCTAAGCAATGTATTTAACGTGTGCCTACTCTTACTACAGGCGCGAGCCCAGGGTGGGCGCCCTTCCAACCGCTCTTTGCTCACGGGACCCAGCATCCTCCTGCAGTTCAGGCTGTGGCTGCGGGAGTCGCCGAAGGCCCCTAGTCCCACTCCACGTCTCTCACCCAGCTTGGACCCCGGGCATGCGCAACTGTCCAGCGCCAGGCCTTCAGAAGGATGACCGCCGGCGGCCAGTCGACCTCTGACCCTCAGCTCAGGCAGTGCCCCTCCCCCGCTGGCAGGTGGAAGGCGGCTGCGCCCGGGGTGGGGGCCGCGGCGCCAACCTTGCCTGGCTCGCGGCCGCTGCCGCACTGAGCGGGGGCGGGAGACTGCGGCGCTCACCAGGCAGGACCAGAGCCCTCCGGACCGCCTCCTGGGTCTCGGAGCGCAGCGCGCCACGGCCTCCCGCCAGCCTGCGCCGCCCCGCCCGGCCAGCCCGAGCGGCCGGCTGCGTCTCCGCCCCGCCCTCTCACCCCGGTATTGACACTGTACGTTCTGCGGAAGGCTGTCCGGACTGCGCGCCTCCGCCAATTGGCGGCCTCGGTGGGTGGGCCCCGGACCCTGTCTGGAGCCTTGACCAATCGGGCTCGTTCGCCCGCCCAACTGGGTCCTCGCGGGCGCACTACTGGTCCTGTGTTCGCGGGTGACGTCACGAGACAAGAGCCTATGGCGGCACGGGAGGGTGGCGGCAAGCCAATGCGCGGCGGCGTAGCGCCGTCAGTCAGTACAGCCTAGGCCAATGAACGGCGGGCTGCGGGGGCGTCACGGACAGCAGCGGACTTGGGCTGAGGTTCCCCGGCGGGCGGGCGCGGAGAGACGCGGG